GTCCCCATCGCAAGGCGCCAGAAGGTGTTGTAGCCAGTCTTCTCCTGTATACCTGAAGAGCGAATCATTTGGCAGGTCCCACTGTCTTCTCATTTCATGTCTAAGTGCGCAACTCTTTGTACAGGACACCACGACATGGTATTCATCTTCCTCTGCGGTTCCACAAATGGTGCAGGTACTGTCCATTTCGAGCGTGCGCCTCCATTTGTTCTTCTTAGTAGCCAGAGTATTTGTGGCCACTCTCCAACCAAATATTTTCACTTTCTCTGATACTTTTGATTTCCAGATTATATCCCAAATAGGGCGGTCGTTGGCCTCATTGGATGAGCTGGAAGATTGGGTGCTCGCACGCTTTTGGAGTGCTACACAGGGGCGGATCTGGGCCCCAGGCCCCCAGGGCCCAGGCCCGGGGCATGGCATTTTTTTCAAGTTATTACCTATGCATGTTTTTGAATGGGCCCGGGGCTTGGCCCAATACACATCCAGCCATCCAGGGCCCAGGCCAGGCAGTTGCTCCATCGCTCACCTGCTCCCTTTGTTCCCCACGCATCAGCCCACCGCTCGCACCTGGCTCCCTTCGCTCCCCTTCCCCAGACCTAGTCGACGCAGCCTCCGCCGCGCCGCGGTCAGCAGGCCACCGCCGCCTCCGCCGCTCCGCGGTCGCCGCTCCCTGCCGGTGACTCCCCTCCGCTACGCGCTCCCCCACTTGCCTGCTCCGCGCCTCCGCCTGCTCCGCCTCCGTGGTCCATGCCTGCTCCGCCCGCCCGCCCGCGCCCTCCCCTGCTGCTCCGGACTCCGGTGCTCGCCGGCTCGACCTCTCCTTGCTCCATGCTGCCACGCCGTCTTCCCTCAATCCCTTTGCTGAGTTGAGTGCTGACTGCTACCCAGAATTGGTAATGGGGATGTTGTCTATTGATACAAATTTCAAAGATTAAACATTTTTCATCTGCAATCTGCTTATGGAATTGGTTGGTGCTGCTGTCAAACATTCAATTTCACTAGAGTTGAATTTGAATGTGAATGTTGCTGCTGTTGGAAATATGCCCTAGAGGCAATAATAAAAGTATTATTATATTTCCTTGTTCATGATACTTGTCTTTTATTCATGCTATAACTGTATTATCCGGAAATCGTAATACACGTGTGAATACATAGACCACAATATGTCCCTAGTGAGCCTCTAGTTGACTAGCTCGTTGTGATCAACAGATAGTCATGGTTTCCTGGCTATGGACATTGGATGTTGTTGATAACGGGATCACATCATTAGGAGAATGATGTGATGGACAAGACCCAATCCTAAGACTAGCACACAAGATCGTGTAGTTCATTTGCTAGAGCTTTGCCAATGTCAAGTATCTCTTCCTTCGACCATGAGAGCGTGTAACTCCTGGATACCGTAGGAGTGCTTTGGGTGTATCAAACGTCACAACGTAACTGGGTGACTATAAAGGTGCACTACAGGTATCTCCGAAAGTATCTATTGTTTTATGCGGATCGAGACTGGGATTTGTCACTCCGTGTAAACGGAGAGGTATCTCTGGGCCCACTCGGTAGGACATCATCATATGCGCAATGTGACCAAGGAGTAGATCACGGGATGATGTGTTACGGAATGAGTAAAGTGACTTGCCGGTAACGAGATTGAACAAGGTATTGGATACCGACGATCGAATCTCGGGCAAGTAACATACCGATAGACAAAGGGAATTGAATACGGGATTGATTAAGTCCTTGACATCGTGGTTGATCCGATGAGATCATCATGGAACATGTGGGAGCCATCATGGGTATCCAGATCCCGCTGTTGGTTATTGACCGGAGAACGTCTCGGTCATGTCTACATGTCTCCCGAACCCGTAGGGTCTACACACTTAAGGTTCGATGACGCTAGGGTTATAAAGGAAGTTTGTATGTGGTTACCGAATGTTGTTCGGAGTCCCGAATGAGATCCCGGACGTCACGAGGAGTTCCGGAATGGTCCGGAGGTAAAGATTTATATATGGGAAGTCCTATTTTGGCCACCGGAAAATGTTCGGGATTTTTCGGTATTGCACCGGGAAGGTTCTAGAAGGTTCCGGAGTGGGGCCCACCTGCATGGGGGGACCCACATGGACGTGGGTAGTGGGGGCAAGGCCCCAAACCCCTGGTCAAGGCGCACCAAGATCCCCCCTTAGAAGGAATAAGATCATATCCCGAAGGGATAAGATCAAGATCCCTAAAAAGGGGGGATAACAATCGGTGGGGAAGGAAATAATGAGATTTCTTTCCTCCCACCTTGGCCAACGCCCCAATGGACTTGGAGGGCAAGAAACCAGCCCCTCCACCCCTATATATAGTGGGGAGGCGCATGGGAGCTATACACGAAGTTCTGGCACAGCCCTACCTCTCTCCCTACTCCTCCTCTCCCATGGTGCTTGGCGAAGCCCTGCTGGATTGCCACGCTCCTCCACCACCACCACGCCGTTGTGCTGCTGTTGGATGGAGTCTTCCTCAACCTCTCCCTCTCTCCTTGCTGGATCAAGGCGTGGGAGACGTCACCGGGCTGTACGTGTGTTGAACGCGGAGGTGCCGTCCGTTCCGCACTAGGATCATCGGTGATTTGAATCACGACGAGTACGACTCCATCAACCCCGTTCACTTGAACGCTTCCGCTTAGCGATCTACAAGGGTATGTAGATGCACTCTCTTTCTACTCATTGCTGGTCTCTCCATAGATAGATCTTGGTGACACGTAGGAAAATTTTGAATTTCTGCTACGTTCCCCAACAGCTGCTGCTACTGTTAATGTCAATTTCATTTCATTTTGTAGAAATAAAAGATTTTTCATCCATGGCCGCAACAGAAGTGTCTATACCCGGAGTTTTAGTAGGGAATCAAGGGGCCGAGAGGACTAAAGTCATTGATTTGGTACTCTTTTTACTGCATGTACTGTTCGTAGTTTTTGTCATTTTTTATCTATTTTTGGTGTATCTTTAAGCATTGAGTTTAAATTCGAAATTATTGATACAATCGAGCCATATTTGAGGTAGCTATAGTTTGATGGAGGTTAAGTTTTTCTCTCGCAAATTTTTTTTGGGCCCGGGGCTTGCTCCATTCCTGGATCCGCCACTGGTGCTACAGCCAGCTTGTACGCACTCCTGACAGAGAATATGCCTGATTTCTCATAGTGCCACGCTAGGGTGTCCTCTGCCCCGGAGGCTGGGAACTTAATCTCACAGATAGCCTCCGCATCAAAACGGTAAAACAGTTAGTGGATCAGCTGTTCATTCCAACCACTGCCGTCGGGTAACATGAGTTGATTCACCCATCTTAACCTGGACCGTCGTATGAACATGGCAGATTTGAGACCCTCTTGACGAGGGATCCAGTTATCTCTTTGGATGGTGACACTCCTTCCGTCTCCTATTCTCTAGACAAGGCCGGCCTTAAGAAGATCCAGTCCATGTTCAATCCCTCGCCAGACCGGTGACGCCTCCGAGGCTAAGACCGTATCCATTAACTTACCATGAGGGTAATACTTAGATTTTAGGACTCGAGCGCATAGACTGTCTGGTCTCTGCAGTAGCCTCCAGGCTTGTCTAGCTAGAAGGGCCTGGTTGAAGAGCTTCATATCCCTGAACCCAATGCCACCCCCTCTCTTGGGCTTGGTCATTTGCTCCCAAGACATCCAATGTACTTTCCTATGTCCATTACCATCACCCCACCAGAAGTCTCGGATTAAACGCTCATACTTGTCACAGAAACCTTGACTCATTTTGAACACTCCCATACAGTACGTCGGTAGGGCCTGCAGCACAGATTTGACAAGTGTATCTTTAGCTGCGTGAGACATATACCTCTCCGCCCAGTCCGAGCATCTCTTCACGAATCTCTCCATGATCGGTTGAAACATCGAGTCCTTCATCCGCCCCTCGGGAGTTGGGAGTCCCAGATATTTACTCTCGAAGGTAGAGGATGAAATCTGAAGAGCATTCTTGATGTCCTTTTGTGTCTCAACTGAACAAATCTCACTGAACAACAGAGAGCACTTATTGTTACTGAGGAGTTGGCCGGATCCAGCCTGGAATCGTTCTAGGACCTGCATGACACATTCCGCTTCTTCTTTGCACGCCTTGAAAAACAGTAAACTTTTCCAATGCATCTCATGTGGAGTCCGCGGGCGTCGGCCTAGTTATGTTGATTTGGATAAATGCCATTACGACTTTTCAGTCTAGAAAAATGCCACTCCAACTTTGCAATACTCTTATACAGTAGATGCCATTACATAGAATTTAAGACCAAAACCCCTTGTATTCCTCCTTGCTCTCCTTCCTCCCTCCATTCACCTCATTCCCTCAAAATTTATGCACAACTAGTTGCAGTGGCATTTATCGAATTAACCCAATGTCCAAGTATGCGCTATGTTGCTGTGCTTAAATGTGTTTTTAGCTTCCTACCATATATTTTCATGTACGCAAACTGTTCCCATTTTCGGCATCCTAGGGAAGCAGACAAGGTCGAGGGAAGAAATACTCGATTTGCCTAATAATAATAATAAGCCAAACAGAGGTTTCGAGACACGGCTACAAAACGTCGCCGTCAGCGTCCGTCACTTTCTTCCAACGGCTAGAAGAACTTGGTGCCCAATGGCCGATCACGAACGTTGTCGGTTTGGCGCTCCCCCAACCAACGTCGAGCTTGCCGTTCCAACGATCCCGATCAATGGCGCCACAAACAAATGGTAAGAAGAAGAGGCTTGCACAACACAAAACAAAGAACAGAAGAAATCCAGTTGAGAAGAGGGACAACGACAGCCCACCGGACCGGCTGGTGAGCGAAATACCCCGTCGTTACCGGCTCCCGCAGCTACGTAGTACACACCTCCTCCCCTCTCCCGCCAATACATATACACACCAACACACACACACCCTTCCTCACCTCTCTCGCTCACATCTCTCCTCTTCTCTCTCCCCGGCCTCTCTTTCTCTCTGCGTGTGGATACTGTTGTGTCCTTGGCAATGGCGAGGAGCCGGCAGTCCATCCTCCTGGCCTTCGCCGTCGGAGCAATGGCGGCGGTGCTGCTGGCCTCCCCGGCGGCGGCCAAGAGCTACAACATCACCAAGATCCTGGCGGCGCACCCGGAGTTCTCCAAGTTCAACGCGATGCTGAGCAAGACGCGGCTCGCGTCCGACATCAACCGGCGCCAGACCATCACCGTGCTGGCCCTGGACAACTCGGCCATGGCGGCGCTGGACCACTACACGCTGCCGACCGTCCGCCACATCCTTTCCCTGCACGTCCTCGTCGACTACTACGGCAACAAGAAGCTCAAGCAGCTCTCGCGCGGCGCCACCGCCTCCGCATCCATGTTCCAGGTATGCACACGACACAATTGTATACATGTATACATATAGATTTTGGTTATTACAGTTTAGTTGCACACATGCCAACTGTGCACAATATATAGCTATCTCGATCGATGGTTCTAACACATCCAGAAATTATCACCATTTTGCAAGATCCAAGTCAAAAGAGATTTTTTGATATCTAAGTCCAGTGGCGGAGCTTAGTGGAGATCAACCTGGGCCATCCCCCCTGCCTAGGAGATTTTTTCATATTATCATGAGTAAATTTCCCATAGATTCATAGAAATCGAGGCTAAACCTGATGTTGGTTGCCCCCCCCCCCCTCCAGCCCATTTGCCCCTCCTAAGATGTGTCCGAAGCTCCGCCACTGTCTAAGTCAACACCCTTAGCCATCCGATTTCTCTGTGTTGAGAGTAGTTTGAATTTTCGTTTCGTAAGTATTTTTGCCATAGCCGAAACCAGCGAATACAGTTTCCATTTTCGGCCAAACGGAACGAGATTAGCACTTCAATTCGATTGCAATCCAATAAAATATTTTGAATTTTTAAAAATTCTTTGATTTTTAATTTGTTTGTACTACCATAATGGCTGGAATATTATGACCGGAACATAAACTATTTCAGTACTTACCCACAATGACTGAAATTTCACTGAGAGTGAACACCATACTTAAGATACATGCAGAGATGGGGGAAATCTTGATTATATGACATGGACTGATATAAGTAGATCTAAACCGATTTAGATATAAACATGCCATATGGCATAAATTATGCAAGATACTAACAAACTGAGAAAACCAACACAATTTGTCACATGAAAAAACAAAACCAACTTAAATACAAACAAATACTCCTACAAAATCTGTATTTCAACCGCCCATCTGCTCTACGTATTATCTAAACCGATGTTCTCAAAAAAAAAACCGATGCTACTAATAGTAGTGGTGTTCATGTAGTTCGCAAAAGCTATAGATACAAGCCACTGAAAATGTGCTCCTTGGCATAGCCAGCCATGGTATCAATTGAGTATCACATTTTCAACCCAAGTTGTTGATTCTTTGGCCACAAAATTCCACGATGATGATCGGGCCGTTGGTTGCCAAGTCACTAAAGCAGACAGTGGTACTGCTGTCGTACTAATTCGCCCACGGAGATGTTTGGCACGGTAGGCTTGGAATTCCATTCAGCCCAGTTGCTGTTTCCTTTAGCATACATATACTAATTTCCTATCTTCCATACCTACAGGATTGATTGACTTCTGGGCCTACATTGTCCAATCATGTACACATAACAGAGGAACGGTTATGGGACATAGTATGATTTATCCTCATTAGTTGGCTAGATTAAACAAGAGTATACTCATTAAATAAACACGTAGATTACATGTAAACAAAGTATCGCGAAATGTATAATTTTGATTTGCTAACGCGCTCGATGCTTTCAGTCGACGGGGACGGCGTCGGGCATGTCGGGGTACGTGAACATCACGTCCCACAAGGGCGGCAAGGTGGAGTTCGTCAGCCAGGATGCCGACGACACCGTCAAGCCTTCCCGCTACGTCAAGTCCATCAAGGAGATCCCCTACGACATCTCCGTGCTCGAGATCGCCTCCGTGCTCTCCTCCTCCGAGGCCGAGGCGCCCGTCCCGCCGCCGGCACCCGTCGACCTCATCGAGCTCCTCTCCAAGAAGCACTGCAAGTCCTTCGCAGGGCTCATCTCCGGCAACGCCGACGTCTTCCGCACGCTCAACGACACCAAGGACAACGGCCTTACCCTCTTCTGCCCCGTCGACGCCGCCGTCGCCGCCTTCATGCCCAAGTACAAGAACCTCACGACCAAGGCCAAGACGGCCATCCTGCTCTACCACGGCGTGCCGGACTACTTCTCGCTGCAGCTGCTCAAGTCCAACAACGGCATGGTCTCCACGCTCGCCACCACCAGCGAGGTCAAGAAGGACTACAGTTATGACGTCCAGAACGACGACGAGAAGGTCACCCTCGTCACCAAGGTCGTCACCTCCACCGTCACCGCCACCGTCGGCGACAGCGAGCCGCTCGCCGTCTACGCCGTCTCCAAGTTCTTGAAGCCAAAGGAGCTGTTCAAGGTCGCCCAGGCGCCAACGCCCGCCCCGTCAAAGAAGGGCAAGAAGGAGGCTGGCGACGACGACGACTCGTCTGACGACGAAGATTCCGATGATGCCACCACTGATAAGGGTGATGCCGCGCCAGCGGTATACGGGCGATGGGCCACCGCGGCTGCGACGGCGGGAGCAGTATTGGCATTGTTGATGGCCTAAAAGAGTACGTAAAAGCCGCCGGCTGTTTTATGCATGTTCAAATTTAATTATTACCCCTATATATTTGTTTTCCCTTTGGTATTTTTAATCTTCCTTTTTCTGCGGGAAAATCTCTATCACTTGTTAGTGGTGGTAGAAACAAAATAAGTCGGCGGCTGGTCTCCTTCAAACATCTACAAAATTCAAGAAACTAGCTTAGAGGTGCGATGTGTAGTTTCTTTTTGGAGTCTTGTTGATTGCTAGTATGATGTAGTTATTTTCCTTGTAATTAATACAGCTGGAATGTTTTCATGTATGGTACCCTTCTATTGCGATATACCCATGTTGTGCAAGCGATCATCTCTTCCTTTTTACATGCCCTAAGTCCTTCTACCCCTAGGGCGCTGGTGATCTCGTTTGGTGGATGCACTGACCATGTGACCTCTGAGGCATTGTGTGTGACGCTGCAACGGTCTACGCCCATGGTCTCTCGCCTTTCTATTGACAATGTGGCTGCCTTTAGAGGCATTCCAACCCTAACTCCGGAAGGCGCCGATTCGAGTGCAAGGCCTCATGCACATCAAGATGCTGATGGTTTGTAGCATGAACGTTGAGACCTCTGCATCTATGATCTTTAATAAAACATTCAGTTCATTCGTTTTCCGGTATGGGTATTGGGGACAAGGCTTCCAGACTAGGTGTTTCCATGGGCTCTAATGGGCATGAGGTGGCCATTCCGATCAATGAGTTGTTAAACCGGAGGCTGATACGGCTTGTGTTATGTTACAAAAGACCGGCGCTGTAACACCTTTGGAAGATGGTGGTCCCTATAGATTTTTAATTCCTGTAATCCAAGATTTATGTGAGGACCTTAATCCTAGGGAGGATAGGGTACCAGAGAGTCATGTTTTAACTCTTTGGTATCTCAAAAGACTCATCTCACCCGCCCTAAGAAGCAATATTATCTCTCTGCGGTGCGTCATAGTACCCGTAACAAGGTT